TCTCCATTTGCAGCCATTCCCTGGATCTGTGCTACTGCTCGACTGAAGTGAAGATTTTTCCAAGGAAGGCGTATAGAGATGCATGGCCCCAGCAGTAGGCCTGGGGCTGCAGCAGGTAGGGAGCCTGCTTGAAGATCCCAGCAGGCTGGATCCAAAGGCCTGACAGGCCAGATCTGGATCATGCCCGCTCCTGGCATATAGTCTAATGCTCAAAGTAAGCTATGGTGAGCAAGGAAGAGGCTGGATTCAAACCTAAAATGAGTCATTGATTCACTGTGTGATGCTGGGCAAATCATTTAACCTCATTGTGCCTCAGGCAATCTAACAGCAAATTGGGTAAGAATCTCCTTGATAGCCAGATGGTGTATATCTGATGGGCTTTCCTGGCTGAATAAATTGCCAAAAAGGACACCCACCTGCCTGTGATCTCCTAGCTACATTCTTGCTGAAATTAATATGTTCTTAAAATAATCTCCCCCAGCTGTGTTAGGAAAAAAATTGTTCCAAGATAGCCGAATAGACTTTCAGACCGCACTGTGAGCAGTGGCTGCAAAAAGCACAATGGCTTAAACCAGGCTGCCCTGCTGTTCGGTTTGTTCACGTGCATTCTTTGTTGCGCCACAGCACAATGGTGACTCTTTTTTTCCATCCTTGATCAAGACTTGCTTTTAGATTTAAATCATACTTGAAACGTGATTTCATTCCCCCGTGATATCAATAGTAGCTGCAGGTAGTAAAAATGGAAATAATTTTAAACATGTAATTACTTTGCATGAGAAATGTGTATGCTGGTTTGTCACTCTACATCAGTACATTTAATAACAACCCTTTTAACCTGAATCATACTTTCTTGTTGTAGCATCTGCTTTACTGTGCTATTATTTTGAGTGGTTGTAGCTATATTTCATTTATCCTCACAGTGCACTTTCTGGTTCTTATACATGAACATGCAGATACCACATGGGAACATTTCATTGTATTAAAAACATCACCATGCAATTTTGAAAACCTCCAAGAAAATAATCTAAATTTCAAACTCAGGGCGGGGTCATTGGCTATCTGGGGATTCCCCTAATGTCAGGCTATCCCTGGGTTGCATAGAGACAACATTCTCGCTTAGTGCAATACCCCTTGTCAAGAGGGGGTGTGTCATGAGGCATGGTTAATCATCTACCTGCTCAAGACATCTGACGAGCTGTCTGACGAAGAGGGTATTTGCCCACGAAAGCTTATGCTCCAATACATCTGTTAGTCTATAAGGTGCCACAGGACTCCTTGTCGTCTTTTCAGTGAATTCTTTATAAAGCTTTAAGACCATTGTGCTTTCCTTAGCAGTAGAGTAGGGAACTAAATCTCAGAGTCAGTTGTAGTGTTACACTGGTGGGGAAAAGCAGCTAAGTGGGATGTTCCTTTGTACCCTCCTTTCTCTGCTCTGCATGAGGTCTGCAAAGGGAATAAGCATCAAGAGGATGCCATACTAAGCAGCATGTCATCTTCCAAACACACATCCCACACAAACTTAAGACCTGGAGTAGAGATCAGGGAAAGTTAATTCTGAGTGAGCCTAATGCTTGCAATTATGGGCTCTAGCTTTAGCTACCCACAGCATCACTTTTGTCCCTGTGGCTGATGAGAAGATGTTAGTAGGGACAATTGAAGAAATATCCCATTATACAGCTTGCCAAGGATATTTGGAGATCCACAAAACCCTATATCTTCCCTTTCCATGCTTTGAATCCACCCCAGCTGATCCATACCAAACTGGGTGGGGATGCAACTTCTTTGGAGGATAGGGACATAATTCAAAATGACTTTAGCAAGTTAGAGAAATGGTCAGAGGTAAACAGGATGAAGTTTAATAAAGAGAAATGCAAAGTGCTCCACTTAGGAAGGAACAATCAGTTCCATACATACAAGATGGGAAGCGACTGTCTAGGAAGGAGCATGGCGGAAAGGGATCTAGGGGTCATAGTGGACCACAAGTTGAATATGAGTCAACAGTGTGATGCTGTTGCCAAAAAAGCAAATATGATTCTAGGTTGTATCAACAGGTGTGTTGTAAGCAAAACTCGTGAAGTCATTCTTCCGCTCTACTCTGCGCTAGTTAGGCCTTAGCTGGAGTACTGTGTCCAGTTCTGGGTGCCACACTTCAAGAAAGATGTGGAGAAATTGGAAAGGGTACAGAGAAGAGCGACAAGAATGATTAAAGATTTAGAGAACATGACCTATGAAGCCAGGCTTCATAAACTGGGCTTGTTTAGTTTGGAAAAAAGAAGATTAAGGGGGGACATGATAGCGATTTTCAAATATCTAAAAGGGTGTCACAAGGAGGAAGGCGAAAATTTGTTCCTCTTGGTTTCTGAGGACAGGACAAGGAGTAATGGGCTTAAAGTGCAGCAAGGGAGGTTTAGATTGGACATTAGGAAAAAATTCCTAACTGTCAGGATGGTCAAATATTGGAATAAATTACCAAGGGAGGTGGTGGAATCTCCCTCTCTGGAGATATTTAAGAACAGGTTAGATAGACATCTGGCAGGGATGGTGTAGACGGAGCTTGGTCCTGCCTTGAGGGCGGGGGGCTGGACTCGATGCCCTCTCGAGGTCCCTTCCAGTCCTATGATTCTATGTACCTGCTGTTCCTTTTAAAGAAAAAAAACTGCAGTGTTGGAGAGACAGTGATGTTTCAAACCTCCAGAGTTTACAGTAGCAATTGTGTGCGTATGTGTGTGTGTGTGTGGTTGTCTTTATAGGGATGAAGTGTGTGTGTGTGTGTGTGTGTGTGTGTGTGGTCGGTCCTTATAGGGATGAAGAGGTGTGTATTTCTCCTTCGTTTCTCTCCTTGTACTATTGCTCAGAAGGAAAGCATATGGGCTGAAGTTATTACAGCACTTTGGAATTAATCTGTAGTATGACAATAGTTCATCCTGCAAGAGAAATGTGTATGCTAGTTTATTATTGTACATCATTTAATTAAAAGCCTTTTAACCTGGATCATACTTTCTTCTTTTAGCATCTGCATTACTGTGCTATAACTTGCAGTGATACAGGTTTGGTTATTTACTTGTTTTTTAGGTTTTAGTAGAAAAGGAGCCCACAACTATCTGATTTGAAAGTAGCCTTTCGACATAGCTGGATCTGTGATCATCCCGTTTTAGTTCCACAGTCTATACTAACCAAGCATATACTTGACTTGCCAGGAATGTATTAACTGAAAGATGGGGTGAATGATGAGGAGTTGAGAGAGCCTATAAAAATATCATACAAAGCTAGAAAATTTACACCTTTCTTAAGAAAATTCTTGAACCCATAGCCACTTGGTGCAGAGTGTCCTGTTTACTACAGCTGTTTGAGTTAGTATTTGAATCAATATAAAATCTTTTAAATTAGTATTATTAGAGCTTGATAATTCACTGAGTTGGGAACACGAAACTGATTTGCGATACTGTGGCGTGCTTTACATTGATCAGCGTTCATCAGATCAGCAGCTCTGCAATATAGAAAAATCATAGCTTGCTTACATATGCTCTCCGTCCCTCCCCCTGCCCCTCGATAAATTCCTTGCAGTTCCCCTCTTACACTTTCATGGACAATTACTGCAACAATCTGGATATTCTGAAACATATTTGTGGCTTAATATTTTACAAGAGGTGGGAGAATGCTGAAAATGCTGGTTTTTTCCCCCTATTTCACATATTTTGAATAATATATTTTTGAAGGGGCAAAGAACAAACAAGAATGTGTTTTGTCTTAGCTGCGTTGTAGATGAGATGGACTTTTCAGCAATGGAACTGGATGAAGCTCTCAGGAAATTTCAGGCTCATATCCGTGTTCAAGGAGAAGCTCAGAAAGTAGAACGACTCATTGAAGCTTTTAGGTATGGCATCCTGTCAGAGCACCTGACACCATCCAGCTGTCACATGTGAAACATGGAGGTTGGATAGAGTTAGGCTGGATTAAGTTGCCTTTGAGAACAACAGGAGGTTTTATGTAGTTACATGATGTATGTATTTATTTTACTTTATCCATTATATACACGTACATTATACATGTATAAATTATAGAATAAGAAACTTTTATGTGCTATTGTTAGTGTATTAGTATAATTATTCTGTTACAAGCCATCCTCACTAGAAGTCCAATATACGTTCCAAAAAACTTGGACTTTTTTTCCCCCACAACTTAAGAGTGGGGAATGGGAGGACTTATAACACATCAGTTCGTACAAGCATCAGCGACTTTAGTGCGGAACAGATGTATACTGGGGCGACTTACAGAATGTGCTATTGTTAGTGTATTAGTATAATTATTCTGTTACAAGCCATCCTCACTAGAAGTCCAATATACGTTCCAAAAAACTTGGACTTTTTTTCCCCCACAACTTAAGAGTGGGGAATGGGAGGACTTATAACACATCAGTTCGTACAAGCATCAGCGACTTTAGTGCGGAACAGATGTATACTGGGGCGACTTACAGAGCCCTCTGCTTTTATATAATATATTCTAAATTGAAAAATTGTCTCCCAAATCAATTTGATTGGTAAGGTTTTTTTTTTTTTTTAACTTCAAATATCTGTGCCTGAAAATTCACTGTTGTAATTTTAGAACCTTAGTTTCTGTATTTGGAGGCATTTGACTTCTACATTTTACAGTATGTCCATGTACTTTTAAAAGCTGCTAAGTACAGTGGGGTGAAGAGCATTATGTTATTATAGCCCAGATAAATGTCCTTTATTGTGGAAGGAAAAACTGTAAAGCATCGAAAATATCAATGTAAAAATCCTGTCCAGATCTTCAGCTGCTGTAAGCAGGAGCAGCTCCACTGAAGACGACAGAAGTTAATCCCATTGAGGATCTGGCCCCGCTAATCAGTTTATTGGTCACAAAATGGAAAACTTAAGCCTTTTACTTCAGCATTCCAGGTTGTTAGTTCTGAAAATGTGATGGGGTAGAGAAGTACTATAGGAAAGAAAATGTGTGAAGCATAAATTATATGAAAATTGGCCTCCTGAAGGCAACAGTTCATTGATTGGATGGATGTTAGGCCACAGTTAAGAAATGCTCTGCGACTACGTCCCCTCTTTGTGTCTTACAGCCAGCGTTACTGTATCTGCAATCCCGGCGTTGTGAGACAGTTCCGAAATCCTGATACGATCTTCATCCTAGCTTTCGCAATCATATTGTTAAACACAGACATGTATAGCCCAAATGTGAAACCAGAACGCAAGATGAAGCTGGAAGATTTTGTTAAGAATCTAAGGGGTGAGAAAGCTTTAATGATTGTTAGCAAAGCTTTTTATTTGTTTAGGGAAATGTATATTATTTATATATAAAACTTGTCTAGCCATCCTAAGAGCAACCCTACTTCAGACATGATCTATGAAAAAGATAAAATATGTAGAGCCCAGTTCTGATTTTACTTATATTGCTTTTACATTGGTGTGAAAATATTGACTTTCGCATTGTAATCCCTAAAATAATGTGAAATCAGAATTAGGCTTGTAATCCTGCATCATCCATATTCCATGCTCATTATAAAGCACTTCTATCCAGTCTTTTATTCCCAATTCCCTTGAGATACATTATAAATATCTTCTGCATTATATTCACATCTCTGTAATGTGCCAATTTTCTGGATGTAATTGAAACTTGGCCGGCTGGTAGCCTTTGTGTAGGTCAGATGGCAGCTCATACAGTTTGCAAATTTTACACATGTGAATGAGGCTGAATAAACTCTATTATATAGTACAGTTGTTCAACAAGTGAAAAAGGGCACAAAAAGATCAGTAGTGTGCATTATAAGCCCACTACAGGCCATCTTCACTATAAGTCCAAGATATGTTCCAAAAAACTTGCACTTATAGCTAAACAACTTTAAGCGGGGAATTTTTTTCCCCATAGCTGACTTCCATTTGTGCAAATGGGGGGGTGGGAAGGGTTGTGCACGACATAAGACTGGGGAATGGGAGGATTTCTAATGCATCAGTTCCTACAAGCGTCAATGACTTTAGTGTGGAATGTCACTAGGGAGTGTATTCATTTCAGACTGAATAATAGGGTGTGTCTACGCTAGCCCCCTAGTCCGAACTAGGGAGGCTAATGTAGGCATTCGAAGTTGCAAATGAAGCCCAGGTTTTTAAATATTCCACAAGGTGTAACAGTTAACTTGAACTAAGGACTTGGTTCAAGTTAACGTTTGACGGCCGCGTGTAGCCGTGGGCAGTTAGTTCGGACCAAGGGGATTTAAAAATGGTACCTGGACGGGAAGATGCAAATAAAGCCCGGGATATTTAAATCCTGGGCTTCATTTGCAACTTCGAATGCCTACATTAGCCTCCCTAGTTCGAACTAATACCCATAGTTATTAATTATGGTAGAATATCTAGCAAATGAGTTGGGTGAAAGAGAGAATAATGTGTATGATTAATCTGGTTTGCATAACATATGTGGTTACAACTTACATGAAAAGTTCAATTAAAAAGGGGAGAGAAAGGTATTTTATCTGGGATGTGGGATTCAAAAATTCTGCTTCGCTAGTTCAAATCCAGCTGAGGTCATTAGTGACTGAAAATCACTTAGAATGTGAAAACTTTTGGGCAGCTTTTATTTTAAATGAGCCTGGCTCCCTGGAACACTAGGCGTTGGTGTAAAGGTCAGCTTGCAGAATGGAGTGCCCAGTGGGCTCTTTCCTTTCCTTCTAGACAAGTGTCCACATCACCACCACCACCACAATTCACACATTAGTTGCCACCCTTGCTGGCGCTGTCCACAGAGAGCTCAAGGCAGATGAGAATGGTTGCACTGGTTCTGCCCTATGCGTGTACTGTTCTGGGGACACACAGCTGCATCTAGACTGGCAAGTTTTTCCGCAAAAGCACGTGCTTTTGCGGAAAAACTTGCCAGCTGTCTACACTGGCCGCTTGAATTTCCGCAAGAACACTGACGATCTCATGTAAGATTGTCAGTGTTCTTGCGGAAATACTATGCTGCTCCCGTCCAGGCAAAAGCCCTCTTGCGCAAATGCTTTTGCACAAAAGGGCCAGTGTAGACAACGCGGTATTGTTTTGTGCAAAAAAGCCCCGATGGCGAAAATGGTGATCGGGGCTTTCTTGTGCAAAACCGCGTCTAGATTGGTACGGACGCTTTTCCGCAAAAAGTGCTTTTGCGCAAAAGCGTCCGTGCCAATCTAGACCCTCTTTTCTGCAAATGCTTTTAACAGAAAAACTTTTCCGTTAAAAGCATTTGCGGAAAATCATGCCAGTCTAGATGTAGCCGTAGAGTTTAATGTCCAAACACACTGTCTGGTAACTTTCATCTACAGAAAATTCACTTAAAATTTAAGACTGCCTGTGTCTGTATTTTGGCCCAGGTAAGAAGCCCACGTTATCAAGATATAAGTGGGAAGGTGGGAGCTAGTGTTGACTAATCAGGTCATTGTAAGCCAAAGTGGTAACGAAACCAAGTGGTTATTGGTTTCTGCAGGCGTAGATGATGGTGAAGATATCCCACGAGAAATGCTGATTGGAATATATGAGCGAATTCGCAAACGGGAACTGAAGACAAATGAAGATCATGTATCCCAAGTGCAAAAGGTTGAAAAACTCATCGTAGGAAAGAAACCGGTAAGTTAATTTTTCACTGAAATGTCAACTGATTATGCCAGATGACTGAGCTGCTGCGCAAGGGATGCTACCCGAGGCTGCCTGGAAATATAAATTGGGCGGTACAGTAACAGAAGATCAGAAGTATGTCACTGTAATAAAATTGCTACAAATATGATCTTGTTTTTGTAACTTTCACTAAGCAAGTGAACATTTCTCTGCATTCTAGCCTAGTTGGTAGTGCACATCTATGTGTAGTGGGGTTTATGAATATTACACATTATTTTTAAAATAAAGATGATTCAATTTGTACTTGGTTTAGCCACACATTCTCCATGTTACCTTCAGTCCTGAAATCTGGCTCTGAAATGTCTGCATTTTAAGCACCTTTCATGATTATATTTCAAAAGGATTGGAGCATGTTGCTGCAAAGTGACGTCTTAGAAAAAGCAATTTCAGTTTTATACCTTTTAATTAAAGATTTTATTGGTATCAGTATTTCCTAATCTTTAAAGCATGCTGTATAAGGGAGTGTTTAGGAGAGAGATGTACATTGGTGTACTCTTGTGGTGTCTGAGACAATCTGGGAACAAAGTCCTCTTGAATTCTAGGGCAGGTTCTTACACTCGCATCCTCCCTCTCTATGCTTTGGCAACTCACTTAACCCCTCTCCCTCTGTTTTTCTGTCTGTAGGAATGGGATAAGTATATTCACAAGGGTGGTGAATATGATTCTGACTTTTGTATTTAGCCATTGATTTCTGTCCCAGGATCTTGAAGTGCTCTACAATCATTAATTAATTTCTCCTCACAGAATCCTTATGTGGAGGAGGAAAGTATTTTTATCCCCTTTCTTAGAAATGAGGCACCTAAGGCACAGAGAAATTCAGGGGAACATTTTCTAAAATGTCCACTAATTTGGGGTGCCTTGGTTTTTGGATCCACCCCTAAAACCTGCAGCTGAAGTCCGTGGCTACTCCAGCTACTCAATGCTTGTGAAAGTCAGGCCTGCGGGGAGCGGTTGGGGCCTCGAGTTGGGCACCTTGTGAAATGATTTGCCCAAGGGCACACAGCTGGAAGTAGAACCCAGAGCTTCGAACTCTCACACCACAATCAGTAGATTCCAGTTTTTGAGGTTCAGCTTATTACTTCCCATTGGGAGTTCTCAGTGAGTAAGGAGAGATTAGAAACTGAGGAAGGATCTCAAGATTTTCCCAGTTTCTTGTAAAGAGCTTTGAAGATGAGTGCTAAATATTGTTTATCTGACCTGAGACTAACTCTGTTAGTTTAAAACTTTAAAGCATACCACAGAAAAATGTGAATTAGATCCTGTTTCCTGTTGTCATGTGTGGAGTAATCAAGGCATGAAAGAAGACTGAACACCTCCTAGAAGAACTGGGGAAGGTGTCACCAAATATGAGAAAACTAATAGTGTCTTATACTAGCAAAAGCTATTTCCATATGCTTTGGGGGAGGGTGGAAGAGATAGGAAGAAAAATGTCTTAACTGTTCCGTAGGAAGTATTTGGGGGGAGATCATATTGACTGTCACACGATTTTCATTTGACACTATTTGTATGTATTTCTGGCTCCTGCCTTGTTCAGGCGCATCATATTCCAGAAACACGGGTTGATCCTGCAGTGTACCCATGCAGTCAGTGGAGTTAGGAACACTTAACAGCCTTTCCGAACGCACACTAGTTTTTCATGGAATCACATGCATTTGATGAGATTTTTTTCCTGTGAAAGAAAATTCAAGAAATAAAACATTTCTATGAATAAAAATAGGTGGCTAGTCATGGTAAGACCAAGAAGTGTTCACTTGCTATGATACAGTACTGTTTTCTCTGAAGTTTAACAAACTTGTATGTGTCTTTCTACTGTAGATTGGATCTCTGCATCATGGACTTGGCTGTGTAGGTATTCCTTTTCATATTGATTCATGCTTTAGAAACCACATGAATGAGAGGCAGTTTAATATTCAGGGTTATACCTTACTAACATTAATATTTTCCTGATGTATTTTTGGCTTTTTCAAAACGTAGGTGTCTTTCAGTTGATTACTCTTTTAAGCAAACTTTTCTCATTGGTGACTTAGCAAAAACATGCCAACACCTCCTGTAGAAGTCAATTCATGCTCTGTGGTATAAAGATTTCCTAAGAATGAAAGTTTTTCCTTGAGGTAGTTTGCAATTCATTGCCTAGAGTATTTTAGATTTTGTGTTTTCTCATGTTCTGTCTTTTTAATTGTCAGTGCTAATAGAAATTGCCACCACATTATCTAGGTGCCCAATGCAAAAATAAAAATTACATTGATTCTGCCCCATAAGGCACATCTTCCACCCTGTGCTCACTTTGTCTCTTATCAAAAGATAGATGAATACAGCAGGCATTAAATAAAAATTCAATTATATTCCAAAAACCTTATGAAGTGTTCCACTTATTTTAATCTCAGCCTAGTATTGCCAGTAGTAGTACAATAAACTTCTGATAATCCGGCACCTTTAGGACCCAGGGGGTGCCAGATTATCAGATATGCCGGACTATCGGAAGGGGGGGCTATGAAGGGGGTGGGGGAGGGGATGCCACCCCCGACCCCTCATAGCCCCTTCTTCCGATAGTCCGGCTCTGCCCCAGGCGGCCCCGATTCAGCCG